TTATGAGATATTCTTCGTAGACTAGTCTGACTTTCTTTTTTAGTAAAATTAACATGTGTGTGATGAAGCTGGGATATACATAAACATAAAACTGCTGCAAGGGATATTGACTTTAAAAAGACGACTAAAATGGTTGTGAGAGAGACTGAGTAGAGTGGGTATCACCAGTAAGGGGTCTCATACCAGCATAAATAATTGAAGTGATCCAAATTTTGATGCTGTCTTGAGAATGAAACAAGGTTTACGAATTTGAAGATAATTCCAAATTGGTAACAAAAAGCAACAGTCAAGGAACAAGTAACAGTAGATTAATCATTGAACTAAACATCATGGATAAAATAAAATCACTTAGAACCACTGGTGATGCAGTTAAATTCACAAAAAAAACAGTGAGTAAATACCGAATGTGCCGACACTTACTAGCCTGCCTAAATGGCGGAAATGGAATCTCCCAGTTTCTTCCCTTTAGAAAATAATCGTAAATCTGATAGTTGATGAAGAAATACTTTGAATCAAATTTCATCACAATAATTAGACGTTCCAGGACAGAACAACAAAATCCGTGCCTAAAATTTACTAACGTCGATTTTCCGCAAGACGTTGCCGCCGGTTTGAGTGCCGATCGAATAAGCCTTCCTCCTCTGTGGTCCAGAGAAGCCGCCATGTGGAGGAGAACCATGGCATCCAAGGACTCGGAGATTGCATCATGTTTGATGAGGAATTTCTAAGTCTTGAATCCTCGATCTTGGTCGTAAATGAGACTGTTGATGAGGCCTTGATTGGCTATGGTTGTGGTTGAGGCGGGGGTGGCTTTAGGGTTTTTGTTTTTGAGTTTCGAAATTTGGAGGGAGTGGGCGAGGAGGGAGAATAAATGGGGCAATTATTGGAAAGGAAGGATTGCGAGTGAGCAGTGATGGAGACCTCGAGACGTCAAAAGGAAGAGAACGGAAAATCGGTCGGCGTACTATACACGTCCGATAGTGGGTCTGGGCCTTGACCTTGAGGGGATTGGGCCATTGGGATAAAGAATCCAAGATATCGGATTTGGAAAATGGGTGCATAGGAATAGGATGCACGCGTGGTGTTGGCCTGGGCCGTGAACTGTAGTTCATACGTTACGAATTTTGAAACGCGAGTCGCGGGCCTCAAGGAGAACAAGGGGAACCTGGGATGTGAAGTAGGGGTGGACGCCTTTTGGGTGTTATTGAGCTTTTTCTTTTTCTTTTTTTTTTTTAATTTTTAACTTTTGGTTTAGATAATTTAAATATTTGAATTAATTTAGATAAAATTAAAATAATTGAAATTAATTTTGATTTGAACATAGTTATTAATTTATATTTAAAATTACTAATCTTAACTACCAAATTATTTAAAATTATTCAAATTTTTTTAATATGAATTTATTTTATTTTTTATTTTAGCCTTTGTGTTATATGAAAATTTTTTAGACAAAATTCTTTTTTAATTAAATTTATAGATAAGATTATAAAAAATAAAAATAATTAAAATTAAAAAAGAAAAGAAAAATTATGTGTTTTTGTATTTTAGAATAGTCCGTCTTAATTAATTTTATAGATAAGATTATAAAAAATAAAAATAATTAAAATTAAAAAAGAAAAGAAAAACTTTTAATGACAAAAAGTAAAATATAATGATATATTTTAATTATTTTAATTAATTGACTGAATTACCTAATAATTTTAAATAATCAAAATCATATATAATTAAAAAAAAAGTTAGTGTAGATTAAATATAGAAATCTTATAAATATTATTTTAAATAATTAAAATTTTCATTCAATTTATTAAACAATCCCACCGAAATGCTGAGACCTAAATGGGAAGAGTAATTTATCAATCAATATCAAAAAACAGCTCGTCTATTGGTAGTGAAATTGCTTAAATGTGGCATAAATACAGGTTTATTAAATTTGTGGATGTTCTACCATTTTTGCAAGAAGTTGAAAATTACTGTGGCGTCTGTGCAAGCATTTCAAAGAACCCCTTAAAGACAACAAGAGGAGAACAGGCATTGCAGAAATATCGACAATTTGCTCAACTAAAATGGAGCATTGAATTGGAGTTTGATCACAGCATC